CATTAATTAAGGTAACAGTTTTTTTTAATTCCAAGCTATAACCAGCATTATTAATTGAGATCATTATTATAAATAACTAAATACATGTCTTGATTTAGAAACTATACATGTATGAATATTTAGTCTTGTACGTATTGTATTGCTTTAAATATTGCTAAAAATTATTTTACGAAAACATGAATTGATGTAAATGTCAGGTTTCAAAAAATCTGAAAGGGAAATCAAAATAAAAGGTAAACCCATGCTCAGTGGAATTCAATACAGGAACAGAATTTAATAGAACGTAAAAGAAGTACAGGAATTTTTTAAAACCATTTCTTTTGCACTATTGATAACGTGTAGGGATTAAATAGTTCGTGGTACCCTTTTTACTTTTGACTGCACGTGTTTTGTTTTATGCATGCATTTCGTTCTATCGATTTGCCCGCTTGGTAAAAAGAAAGAATCGACTATCTCGCACGTACCGTACGAGCAATTTTTGTGTGCGAACTTTCATTGAGTTTAGCTCTGAGCCCCAGCTAAATTAATCCCGTGCTCAAATTAATTAGTCGCCGCTTTGATAAATTAGTGCCTGACATACTACTAAAACGGTGAACGCTGTTTCCGCATCGCATACACCCACGCTCTTCGAATTAAATTAATGCACACTTCACGAACTGCAAATACCGGGGGTAATACATCTATCGTATCCTTTCGGTTTTTTAAGTCCATCTCGGGACGTATCTTTCTAAATTCATTAAACGTAATTCAATCGGTTAAAGATCGACAACTTTAAGACACGATGCCATACTCTCTCGTATATTCAAATATTATTAGATGTATTTAATTATTATAAAAATATAACATTTTTCAACAAGTTTTGTAATTATGTGTATTATACAAGTCTTTTATATACTAAATTGTTATAATTTACTATAAATCATTATTCATCACTTTTCTCATCCATGATTTATGATAGTAACCAACAGACTGCCTGATGGTCCAGGAACAAACGCACACCAAGAGCAACAGGGCAAGCAATGACATGATAAAGACGAATTTAAATTCTTTGCATTTCGGATGTGCATTATGCAGTATTCATCCATAGTGAAACATTTCCATTTCCACTTCGAACATCCAAGATGTCTACCGACGATTGAACTGATGGTAAACTTCATTATGGATGATCCACGACTAGACTGTAGATTTTATAAAAACAATCAAAAGGATATATAAAAAATGCTTGCTTTTGAAAAATATTTAAAATAACTAAAAGACGACTTTAATTTAAATGATCTGAAAATCAATTTCAATTTTGTATAGAAATCCGCAGTCGTATCGTGGCACACATACAACGTGCAAAAGTCTAAATTAAGCTCAACCTTAAGGAGAACGAAATTGTTTGACTCACATGGGAAGCTGACTGGAGGATGAGACTGAGCGTTGTGCGCGTTGTGTGGATGTCTAGGGGTGGCGGCGCGTTGCCTACAGAAGCAGAGGGTCACCGTCGTGACCATTCCCGCGACGCAGAGGATCAGAAAAACTAGCGTGACCGCGAACCAGATCGTCTGCATGCCCAGGATAGTCGACGCCTCGGAATCTGTAACGAAAAAATTGTTTCCATTCCTATTGATTTCTTTCGTTCACGACGTCTTCCAAATATCTATATACGTGGTGTTTCATCGTTTCGTTCGATTGATATACAAGGAAACGATTCATAAACGGTGATTCTTTTGAGTGAATGTATTTCAAATGACAAGTGACGCGATTGCTGTCGATGGAAGTATTTGCATCGAGCTCTGCTTTGCCCTTTTATTTAGAGGCGCCAGGTAGCGGTTCATCCTGCCTGGCAAGTGCCAGGTCAACCAAGACCGGAGGAGAATTAATTCCCCCGAGCGTTGCTTTCCACGAACACGGGAACGAATACAAAAACCGTTCTGCGACGATGAGACGCGCACGCAGTTTCGTTGAATTGAGAGATCGATAGCGAACCGCGTTTATCCTTTTATCGTTAGAGATTGACACGTTGTTGTATCTACCTTAGAGACGATCAAAGAAATTTCACTTGGAAGCGTTTGTGGCTTGTTATTAAATTATTTTCATTATTAGTTTATTATTCAATTTTCATTCATAAAGGC